TGTCCTCAATCCTCCTCCAACCCCCCCCCCCCCACGACCCTCTTTTCAAACCATACCTTGTATTCTCCCAAATTAGTTCCTCTTTCTACACTGCCCCCCCCCCACCAAGCCATTTAAACAGTGGGAAAGGTTAATTGCTTGAAAGACCCGCTGTGTTATTTCAGCTGATCCCAAGTTTCCGTCTAGTCCTTTGCCATCGTATCACAGCCAACTGCTGGAAGGAAAGCAGTGTATGAGGTGACAGATGTCGAAAATGCCTGAACACACACGCAGACAATCACACATCCACACCTCAGCTGTTCTTTCTACGAGGAGGCGCGGCAACAACGTCTGAAGTGGAAATGAGGTAGGCTGGCATACCGATGCTGGAGGAACCCTCTGCCGCCTCCTCCCCCCTCTTGGTGATGATTTATCCTCCTTTGCTAAACAGTCTCTTTCTCTTCTTTACTCCCGGTCTCCCGCCCACTGGAGCTCGCGCTCTCTCGACTGAAGAAAGAGCGGCAGAAGTCCCTCCCTTCCGTGTGGCTCAAACCAATCATCGAGAGCGGAGACATGCAACTGCCTCCATCCCGCGCCTCCTCCACCCCGACCACTTTTCATTTGCCAACGTGCTCTCATGCGCGCAGCCGGATTGTCATCGCGACAATTAAACAGCGATACAAAAAGAGCGGTGTTACCGTTGAGCGTTAACGCGGTTGTGCGCGACGTCGTCCCTGAAACTGCATCTTTTTTGCACTCCTTTTGAATAGATGAGTTTCACTCGTAACGAAAACTAGTCACGAGTAAAATTTAAAACACGGAAACCGTCCCTGCGATGATTAGAAACACACGGTGCTTTGTGCTGCCATGCAAAGAGGAAATACCGTGCACGCTGCTTTCGCGATGTTCCATTTGTGATTGCATTTACAGTGTTCTCCAGCTTGAAATCAACATTTTAATTTCTACTGAAACGAGAAATCTAATTCCACGATGAATACTTCATCAATGAAAGAAATTAGACCACCTTGTTTTCTTCAATTTCCTGGTCAGTTTAATAACCGGTAGCACATGGAATGCCTAATAGCACGGTTTTGGGCAGCATAAAATCCAACTGAACAAACAGGAGTGGTCTAATATTTCCATGACCGTATACAGACCATCAAGTATTTTTGACAAAGTTTAATTTGTCATAACTCGATCAACGTTGAAAAGCAATCATGTTGAGTACTCAAATATGGCTACAAACAAAAAAATGTGACCAATGTTTTTCCGCGTCATGCTTTGTCACTGCAGAGCACCAGCTCGACTCGTGTCACTGTGGGATTTTTATTTCAAAAGAGCACCGCAAAAAACTGCAAAAAAAAAAAAAAAAAAAATTTAAGTAAACAACATTTCACATTGAACGGTCAGAACAAGATGCTAATAAACAACAGTGCAGAAGATGAAGGGTTTTTCTTGTACTTATTTTTCACCATGTGCCCACTGGCCACAGTCAGAAGATGACGGGCACAAGACAACACACCGCAGCAACAAAGTGGAGACTGTGGTGTACAATCCTGCTTTTGTCTAGAGCTCAGACAGCGCAAAATGGTAAAAGCTATCTTCCGCATGGCTATTTGTTTTGGTCATTTCTCACCATGCGATCCTTAAATGCCACAATGATACCAAAATGGCAAAAAAAAGTCATATGATTCACTCAAGGGAAACCATAATCTACAATCAAGAAATGATGAACATTCCCCGAACTAAAACCTAAATTGCATTGGTATGCTCTCTTTTTCCATGCTGTGCTATTCCTTCACCAAGCATTCAAATTACTACAATCACACTTGTTTTCCAGATAAAACAACTGTGATGATGCTCACTTCCCAAACGCATGAAAAAAAATTGCACAACAGAACCAGCGCAAGAGAATTCTACAGGTCCTGAAAGTGTAATACAAACTATTCTATTTCCACACCCTCAGATAGTCCTAATTAACACCAGAAACAAAAGCACAACAGATAATTCCTCACTTGCACGTTGTCGAGAAGACAAAATCATTTCGGTACGAGTTCATCAAGTTCAGACGGACAGAATTGACTATTCTGAAAACGCACCGCTGACCGCTAAATCACTGAACACTCAGTCCATCTATCAGCTTCACCTTGGCAGGTCGTCAATATAGCCTCACAATGCGATAGGAAAATATTGCAATATCTGATTACGCACGCCAACAATGCTCTGTGAAAAAAAAAAAAAAAAAACGACATACAGTTGGGCAGTGCTTATTCATGGCTGTTTTTCGGGGGAGGGGATCAGGGGGGCAGTTTTGGAATTTCAGTAGACTGTAGCATAACCATATAAACAGGAATGCAGTTACAAAATATGGCCAGTAGGATTTTAAGTGTACGATAAATTGATCTCGTTTTGAGAACCAAATGACAAGAGTACCAAATAAATCCCAAATTAAGTTCTAGTTGGACAGGAAGGGGTGCGGATGTATCCTTTCGGTCTAACAGATTTGCAGATGCTGCATGACACAATTTTGAAAGCGTCAGCTAAGCGTGAGTCGGCAAAAGTGAACCTGACATCTTAATCTCCCTCCTAGCAGACAGTTGTTCATTATAAACTCTGGAGAACTGCTCAAGCTTGTACGGAAAAGCTTTTTGATTGCATCTTCTTAAACAACTTAGTTGTGACAGCCCCTGCTCCCCCCCCCACCCACACCTCATCAGTCTAATGAACCTGTGCGACAACTTACGAGGATATGGGCTATTATGATTAGATCTAATTACACAGGATCCTGCACTAAAATTAGGCGCCCAGTCGGATATTAATAGCCAAATGCTAGATGATCCACATCCTCATTTAATGACTTTCGGAAAGCCGCAGAGTTTGTCTCGTGCCCAGCAATTTGCCATCGCGTGATCGAGACCCAAACACGCATACACACACCAGCCTGCACCTTTCTCTCTCCGCCCCAGCCAGCAAAATCCAGACACACTCCCTTGCATTCACGCACCCCCTCGGCCCACCGCACGAGGAGCTAAAAATAAATGACAGCGAGGCAAAGAGGGTTGCATGGGGAGGAATGGGGGGTGGGGGGGGGGCGTAAGATAGCAGGGAGAGGCAAGGGAGGAGAGAGCTCATCAGAGAAAAGAGGAAAGGTGAGAAAGAAGTCCGGGATATTAGGAACAAAATGGCAGGATGAAAAGGGTGCAGCCACAATGATGAAGAGGAGGCAGCGTGGCATCCTGACACTTGCTTGCTGAACTGAGCACAACATAGGCCTACAACTTTGTACACTGTGCAAGGTCTCAGGACTAGTTTTAACTAGTCGCCATACTTTGGGAAGTACCACTGGACAACAATTCCGACGATTCCAACAAATAAAAACTCAGCATTCCGCTGAATCTGGTTGTTGTAATTAATGGGGGGCCCCTCGCTTGCTTCTCTTTAATGATTGGGATCGCGGGAGACTTTGACACCCAGAGTGTGTAAATTATGTCCCGTGTAGTTTTGTCTTGGTCGCCCACAAAAATCTGATTTACCAAAAAAAAAAAAAAAAAGATTTAATCCAGAAGACTACTCCGTGCCTTAAAGCCGTTTCGCTTATCTTATCTTTATATCGACAAAACAATTAACATTTATATTCGTAACTATGGGCAACTGATATTTTGATTTCAATCAACGTAAAGAGCAAAAGGAGCCTGGTCAGGTGGTCACTAGACTGCATTCTACTGTGCTGCAAATTACAAACATCGCAGTTAAAATAGCCCATCAAGTCAGTGGTTGCTTTTGCACACAACGCTAGTAAAATTCAACGAGGGAAGAAACCGACAAGATGTGACCGTGACTAAAGTATTGACCTGCATGCGCACCATGCAGTTGACATCATGCGCTTTTTCTTTCACCAAAAGCACAAAAGGCCCTCAGTTCTGTTCACATCCAACTTAAGTTGTGTTTTCATCAAACCTTGGATACCGCTTGGAGAGGGCATTCCCGTGCCTAACACATGGAAACACAATACAAGCACTTCTGATTGCAACTATCCCAAGGTATTGGCATTTGGAGAGTCACAATGGCCTGTTTTGTCTTGCTGAAAGCATCGTGGCATTCATGCTGTATGTGGACACAAGTATTGGGACACATGGCTGTTACATGTAAGTTCGGGGAAACTGGAGGTCATGCCATTGATGGAGTTGAAGCCAAGGTTCGAAGGTTCTTCCATAAAAACTCATCCAGCCTCGAATTGTCACGCGGAATTAGAGGGCATTCCCGAAACAGTGTTGCTGTGCCTCAGATCCAGTGCACGACTGGCAGAACGGTAAATCAGAAAAGAAACATGAGATGTCAACCAACCCAGGTGTTACCTTCTTCACACATCAAATAGGTGTTGCCGTTTTATTTCTGTCCTCTCTTTTGAAACAACTTCACGACAATCAGCTTCCACTGGGCGAGTTAGGATAGGGAACTGCCAAAACCGCGCACATTGGCTCTGTCACTCAATGCCTCCTGCCTGCTTTAATTTATGGAAATAATTAAAAATGCGGGCCATGGCTACAATAGCTTAATGGGTTTTGCTCTTTTTGGTTACTGGCTGGAATGTTAATTAGTCAGCATTCAAATATAATCTGGTACTTTCAGTACTCTGCAGCAGGGAGCCTTGCGTCAGGGGTCTATTGGGGGGGAAAAAAGGTTGCATTTGAAATTGTAACCGCTTTTTCAATGGCCTCATCAGAAAGGCTGATGAACAGCATGTTCAGACACGCTGAGACCAGGTCAAGGGATCAAAGAGGCTGCTAGCTAGGACACAATGTGCGTGCAACACAGGGAGTTGCACGCACGCGCGCGTACGCTAACGACACAATATGCACAAGAGCACAAAACTTAGTAGAAGCTGGCATGTGACCATGGTATGCACAAATTAAAAAAAGATGGAGCCTAGTAATTAAATAATGAGCATAGTACATAAGAAGCCAAGTTAATTATGAAGAGTAGTAATTGCAAAGTGAATGTTAATAGATTTCTCCTGTTCTTTGATTGAAGAGATAAATTTGACTATATACATGGCTAACAAAATCCTCATACAAAACTGGTAGAGGAACATAACTGTCAACAAACTAATTATGAATTTATAATTATTTATTCTATGATACATTTTTAGTGGACATTTTTAGTGGAATTAGTTACGGCAATAAAGCAACAAAAAAAAAATGCTTAAGAAAAAAACCCCAAATTCTAAGACCACTCCCCTATCCATTTTGTATAGCGCTTGCCCTTATGAAGGATGAGGGGTGAGCAGGAGTCTATCCCAGCAGACTTTGGCCATGAGGCATGATCCACCCAGATGTACCGAAACATTTTTTTTTTGGTCAATTTCTCAATTTGAGGGGCACTGAACTTGAAAAGGTTTCGGTATTGCTGTACATACTTTATATACTATTGCTGACACTCTTCACCAGCCAAGCTTTGGGTAGACTAAATAAATCGAAAAATGTCTGTTGGGAGAAGCCGCACGTGTTTTCCTATCCTGGAATGCCTTAAAAATACTTTCCAACTTTCTGTCCAGTGGTTATCAAATCAGTAGCGCTGCACATCATTGTTATGATATTGTGAGGGAAAGCTAGCATTCCATTCATACCATTTAAGTTAACACAAATGCATCTGCAGGGACTGTTGTTGCACAGGAACTGCATGCAGCTAAAGAGAAAAAAAAGTCTTGGAAAGGGAGGTGGGCACAGTGGTCAGGCAGCGAGGTGGGGGGGTCAAGAGGGAAGTGGAGGAAAAAGGCAAGACCAACATCTTTTCACCACCTGGGAACCAGCATTGTGCCCCCGGGATGTTGCCTTTATATAAGCAGACAACAGAGTTGCAGCCAAGAACTGAAGAGCAGCATTGGCACATTTTAGTGTGTGTGTGTGTGTGTGTGTGTGTGTGTGTGTGTGGGGCGGGGGGGGTCTCTGAAATACAACATGTAACCACATGCCCATGGGTATGTGCGAAAAAGAACTACAGTACCTGCAGTGTCAGATCAAATAAGTGTACTTCGATTAGAACAACACACAAAACATTTCAGGGAAAAAGCAATTACTGTGTGAACGCACAAAACCAAGGACAAGTTGCATTAAAAACTGTGAGGAAGACATCGATGATTACATTTATTATTATTATTATTATTATTATTATTATTTATTTATTTATTTTTAATTTGGGGGGGGGGTGTATTGTTGTTATACCTGTCGTTAGCCCAACGTAAAAATGTCCGATTAAATGCTTTGGCACCACTTTATTGCGGGACTGGGAACTTTTGGAAAAAGATTGCATGTCTGGACGGTGGGAAATATTCCCAAAATAAAAGTCCTGGGATTTTTTTTTTTTTTTTTTGGGGTCACTGTAGCAGGGTTTGCTACTCTCGAGAGACCCAGGAGCCTTTTTTATTCTTTGCAGGGGTGAACAACATGTCTGGTCGGACGACTACTTGGTGCATTTATTGAAATTGGAAAATACCATCTTCTGCCTCTTCTACTTGCATATTTTTCCCCTACACATTGCGATATAAAATTAAGGGTAAAAATATTATAGTATAGTATAGCAGATTTGAGTGTGTGTGTCATCCTTAAGTAATTACCATTACGCTGTTTTGCCTTACCTTTGTGATTAGAGTGCGGTACTCCTCGACCTGGTGGTCATTGTTGTGGCAACCAGACAAGAGCTGCCACACCTCCCCACGGAGCGCCTCGGGTATCCCGCTCCGCACCAGAGCTGGAAGCGGCCTGGGACGCACGGACAGATTCATATGCCTGAGAAAGGAGGCGGAAGAGCAGTGGTCAGTCATAGGGATGATTTCTCTGGTCAATTACAATAGATGAAACAATTTAGAGCTTGATTCACAAAAGTAATGACACCCAAGTTTTCAAGGTTATGAGCAGCATGTAATGAACTCATAACAAATGCATCATCACGCGGCACAAGATGTGGGGAGAATCTCCACTTTAAACCTACCATGTCACCTTGAGCGCAGGCATTTGTTGGCCTGTGCCTTCCGCCAAGTCACAAAATGCTTCTTCTCGTAGCCGTTGGCGGCTTAGTGCAGTCGTAAAAATTAGAAGCGTGGCAAATTCAGCGCCAGTGGTGATCGCATTCAACACAGACAGATCTAATTGATATTGGTCCAATATAAAAAAAACAGCATCAGGTTATATCTGTCTACATCTAAAATCTCCAATATCTCATGCTTGAGGTTAACAATTGTTCTTTGTGTGAAATAGTATCACATGATCAAGGCTCTTACAACATTTCTTAGTAAAAAAATAAAAGCATGCTTCATTCCTGCTGATATCGTAATGGCTCACCATCAGTATCGGGCATGCCTCGAGATGCAAGATTGGCATCGTATCGGAAGTCACTTGGCACCCCGATTACTGACTAGGTTCACTTCTACTTTTCATGCGGTTTTACATTTACAATGTGTCCCATTATGTAATACCTGTCATTTTAATGCTCGAGGGAAAAACAGTTGAGTAGAGAGAGGAACCAAAGTTGTGTGTACGGAAACATCTGTAGTCACCGTGACGACCATAATTCACGGTTCAACAGTAGGCCGGAGCTTCTCTGTCATCTGGCCTTAGGGTCATGACTTAAATTGTGCAACCATTTTACATTTTGTCCTGCTCAAGCTACCCAAAGCACGCACGCTTTCAAGACACCACACGTCTTATTTATTTATTTATTTATTTTTAAATCACATGCTTTTAATTAAAAAACAAATGCAGCAATGGGACAGGAGAGCTACCCCAGCAAGCTGCTTATCTTGTTCCCTCAAATAAATAAATAAGAGGCAATTGTGTGAGTGTTTGTTTCAGAGGAAGCAGAAAGACTGCTGAAGGCCAAACACAACAAAAGACCTTACCACTTAGATAGCAAGTCTCCCCAGGTCTCCAGGATCTTCTCAGCACACTCTTTGGAAACATCACCAGAACCACTGAGTAATGGCTCGTCATTATCTAGACACACACACAAAAAAAAAATGAAACATTTACTTGTTACATTTTCCATCCGTCTGAGCACACACACAAACTCCCTGAGCACTCTTTGGACCACGGTGAGCAACAACAGACATGCACACGGCGGCCAAACTGGTATCACATCTGTCCAAAACCTGCGATCATAACAAGGTTGCGTGATCTAGTAGGTTATGAAAACAATTCCAGTTACCTTTATATCAAAATAGAACATATCATCGAATGAGAGATTTATGACACGAATAAAACTGGACGACGTTGGTGACTTATCCTTGAGCACACGGTGTGTATAACTATGATCACACGATGTCCACTCATAAATAACGGAAAACATGGTCATTTAATAAAACAGAAACATTTCTCCACCTGACCGTCGAAACGCACGAAAGGCCCTCATTCAAGGGGCTCGTAAACTATGTCCATGTTTGGACTCCCTGAACGGAGCGGTCCGCGCGTCGCCCCCAGCCTCTCGTCTGTGGTGAGTGCGAGTGAATGTGCGTCAATGTATACATCAAACTATCGTAGAACAACTGAGTGCGCACCCTCGGTCGCACTACTGAAACTGTAACGGAGGTGGGACTAGTCCGGTGTCCTGTTTGTAGATTAAAGTGGGTGGAAAATAAAGGAATGAGTGTAGAAATGTCATGTGTGCATGGTGCGCGCTAGCTGTCACCGTGTGTGCCGAGAGAAGTGCGCAATTGCGCATGCGTGCAGCTTAGAAGAAACGTTGCCTGTTACAAAAACTACTTGAATGACTCGACAGTTATTGAAAGCCCCGTGGTGTCTTTGAAGTCAAATGGCGCTGAATGCCCCAGAAAAAAAAAAAAAAAAGGTTTCACATGACACTTTCAGCAAATCTTGTGAGACTTCATCGGAGTCCAAATCAAAAAGAATCCCCCCCCACCCCCACAGGTGTTTTTCTTATTCTTTGGCTTCTTTTTTATGTGACCGCAGACTATCAGTGGTGGTGGCAAAGTGGAAGAATGTAACAAAGACAATTTATGAGCAACATGGTAAGTGGCCGCCATTTTTGTGGAATTCAAAAAAAAAAAAAAAGAATATTAAAAATGAGCAATCCTCCATAACATCTAAATTCCCAGAAAAAAAAAGGTTGCAAGAGCTTCTTCTGGTTTTCTTACAAATGATGTGAAATTCGAGGATTTTTTTAAGGGCAAGTAAAGCTGGTCGAAACAGAGTATTTGTGACGCTTCAAATGAGACAACCGATTGCAATTTCGGGCGTATGAGCTTTTTGGTGGGTATTTTTTCAGTGAAAGATTGGAGAAGTGGTTCAATAAATCTTTAGAATACACAACTTCAATAATACATATTAATGTTTTTTTTTTCGACCACGTTGAAATGAATTGCAATGCAACGTGCAAAAAATAAATAAAAGAACACAATGTGCAACCCGGAGTCAGATGTGTACAAAGTGGTGAGGCGCCTCCCCTCCCAGGCATTCAAAGTAATCTCCATCAAACATCAGAGTTGCCATCGCACAAGTTATTCTCCCTTAGAATTTGTGAAAACTGCCAGGAGCGGGATGTGATACACCTACAGGGTGCACAAAAATGTGTTCTCTCGACTAAAGAGACGTTGTATTATGTTTTGCGTAATGCGGCAAGCTTTCGCTCAATCACGGTCCACAGCTTCCGTATTGGCTGCATGTGAGATGGAGAATGAACAACGACAAAATAAGCGGGTTCTTTTCACGGCCGCACATTGACGTCACGCCACTTATCTATCCATCTACCCAGGAGCTTTAGGCAGCATATTTTATATGTATAAACTGTGTGAACTGGTGGGCACACAGAGAGAGCAAAGATTCGAACCTGGATCTCTTGACTATGAGTGAGGCGGAATATCCACATTTGTGAGGACGTCTTAAAAATAACACAAACACATGGTTGCTGACACTTGAAGTACAGCACAAGAAGTTCTCCAACACAGCTTGTGACCGGGCACCACGAGGACTTGGGCGAACATCACATTTATATCCGGGACAGCCTTCAGGGGGAGCGTTTTCATTTCCTGCTTAAATAGTGTATTATAGCCATCAGTGATGAGGACGAGCAATGATAAATTTCAGAGTGTATAAACTATTCAGTGAGATGTCTGTGGAGGTGTGCGGTGATTTAGATAGAGGGTAATTTACAAGGGCGGAATTAGTGCTTTCTGTTTGAAATTTTACGATTCTACAACAACATTTTCTTATGATTAAATGCATTGAGATATTTATCGGGTCGCCAAAATGATGATGAACAGACGGAAAAAAAAAACATTACCTTCCTCTTCGTCATCCTCGGGTGGAGAAGGGACCATCGAACCCGGCGCGCCAGGAGGGATAGCAGGACTAGCTGTGGTCTTCCGTTTCTCTCTTTCTGTCTCACTTTCCAAACTCACCACCTCGTAAAGTGTGTCAGCGGAGGGCCTCTTCCGCTCCTTGCGCTCCATCTGAGGAAAAAAAAAAAAAATGCAATGAGGAAGTATTTTCACTTTGTGCATTAGCATAAACTAATGTCAAGCTTGACCTTCATTTGCTTGGATGAAACCGCAAGTGCTCGTCATAGGTCGGCATACCTGTCGCAGTTTCAGGTAGTAGGTTTCAGTGTGGCTGCGCTTGCTGAAGGGCCAGAAGAGACGATCGTTGGGAGAGCAAACCCGGACCCTCGTCTCCAGAAGGAAACGCACCGGCTCTTCGACTTCTGTTATGACGAGGTCCACCGCTGTCGTCATGTACATACATTTATCTACAAAAGCAAGAGAAACGGTTTTATTTATCATCACCAATTAACTAAGACCAATCAATGAACAACGTGACACTGCTTATCCAAGCAAGGGAGGTTAGTTAGTGTTTCGCTCTCATGCTAATTGGAGACCCTCAGTTGTCACGCAGATGACCAAGTTTTGCTTCTTTTCAGCCATGTTTTGCGCTGCAACCGCTTTTCTACTCCCTATTCTGGGTCCCGTTTTATTACAACTGTCTGTGCTGTTTGACAAGAAGAGGCACGAAGTGAAGCTGTGTACTGCTATATTAGCTAGCTAGTGGCTAACTAGCTGTCATTTTCTTGTCACTGAAATGTCATCAGTGGTTGAACTCAATTCATACTTGTGTACATGTACAGGTAACAGTTAAAACTTGGTAAACATGTTTCCTAGCACTACTCATTTATCAGTGAAGTCAAGAGAGTGATTTATTTGATGGGGAGCGTTTTGAGTCGGAAGCAAATAACTCCAAATATCATTAAGCTCAATTGGAAATTGTATTTTCTGATCTATAAGAATGGAAACAGCACAGCCCTCGTCGTGGGTAAAATCACACTGACTTTGCAAATCTATTGAGACACACAGTGCGCCTGGAAAGTATTGTATGTTACAGGCTTGTTTGAAAACAGACGGGGTATTGTTTGGAGAATTTGGAGGGGCAAAAAAAATGTGATTCCATTTTGAAATAATGTGAGAAAAAAACTGCGATTCCTGGAGATGCTGCATGTTGCCTACAATTTATGTCAAGTGATTTGAAGATCAGTGCGACCATAAAGCAATTTACATGTGTGGATGTGAAACAGAAAAACAAAGGCAGCTAATAGCGGGGTTCTTTTGTTTTTGTTAATAATACAGTAGCTGGTCTTTGTTACCTTTGGGCGTTTCCTCGTTCACAGCCTGGAACTGGGGCGTGCTGGGGTTCCAACTTCCTGTGATGATGTAAGACTTCCCGTCGGAGCTCTTTCCCATTGACTCCTAAAAGGGGGCACAAGTTGGAGGGAATTAGCTCATGCCCACATATAAATAACTCCACATGTACAGCTCAACGTACATTTATTCATACACTGAACAAATGTGCTTTTTTTTTTTTCTTGGTGAATGGTATCCATCCTCTATAAATGAGCACAAAAAAAGTGTTTAAAAATGAATTTTCTTATTTTGTAAGTGAGAAGTTCCATCTGCATGATGATATTATTTTCATGAATAAAAACAAAATGCTTATTTAACAGGGTAATGCCCATCACCACATATTTTGCAGTGAGTAACAAACATCCATAAGCGGCGGGGCGTTTATTGAGGAGTCATCCATTTGTCCAAATGTGTATACAGTAATTACTATTAAAATTACAGCCGTTTTAATGTATTCAAAATACATCCAAGGTATCGATACACACATAAGTGCACACAACTAACCTACCAGGTCTAGAAGGTGCATGTCACTGTTTTTGACGTTCTTGCCAGGACTAAGCAGAAGACCAAAACACCTTGAGCAGAGGCACACACACACACAAAAAAAAAACCTTCAACAAACAATCAAATCTTGCTCGTCAGTTACTACAACTAGCTTCTTGAACAGGCCTAATTATTGTATACCGATCCAAGCATTAGATATTTGACATTTTTATCCTCGTGCACGTGTGTGTGCCTGTGTGTTTCCTCTTACCGCTCAATAGCCAGTTCCTTATTGGACGTCTGCTGGACATAAATGACTATTTTCTTGTCCATTCCGGCACGTAGTTTGAAGCTCTGCTTGTCCTTGTCTTTTGCGACAGCACTGGCGGGGGAATAAAGCAGTAAATCAGAGAAGACAAAATCTAAAATCCTCACCACACATTAAAAGTGAGTTTGAATAGTTACTGCATGCAAGAAGAAATACACCAAAACGCATCACGACAGGTCGATTCCAATTAAATTTAGTTCATAGTTAAGTGAAAAGAAAGAATAGGGTTGTGCTTTGTTCTTTCGAATCTCACAAACTAATTCCCTCATCTGAGTGTGCGTGCCCTGTGCGTGAATGTCGTTCGCTTCGGATTCAAATGTGAAGGTAATCTTGTCTTTAAATCTACAGTATTTGAAATATTAATAGTTGTGAGCACATGGGGACGATTGGGGAAGAAATAAAAACTGGTCAAAAGCTGGTTGAAAGCAGCAACCACACAGGCGCTTGTGTTTCCCTCTGAACTGGAGCGTGATGGAAGCTTCAAGGATGTCTTGCTATTCTGGTCTTAATTGCATAACCTCAAACAAGAGAGCAAGCAACATGGAAAGAGGGAACTCAAATTGTGTTCGATGAAATAAAGATACACTTGCTCAATTGAAGTTTAAGCTTACCTTGTATGGCTGGCTGATTTTACATCCCCTCATTTGTACAAAAAAAACAAAAACGCTGTTTCGCTCTCTTTCCAGCATAAATATTAAAAAGTGGCATGCTCGTCTTCAATGGAGGTACTTAGGTTAATGCAATTTTTTTTTAAGTATTGTTTAATAAAGAAGACTGCATTTTTTTTTAATTTATTGTGATGAGGCTAAATGAAACATTTGACATCAATCAAAGACAGCTGGCAAGTTTCTTTATCCATTGTCAGTGTGTGTGTACGTTTTCAGTCAGTATCTGATTGCTAGGAAAACACATCATCAATTCTTATACCTGAAAGTGCCTTTGCCATCATCCTCCTTGATTTCCAGGCTGACGGTGAAGGTAAACAAGTCGCTATCTGGCGTGAGTGGAGCAAGCTGCTGCGACGCCAGTGCCGCCTTCTTAGCTGACCGCCGAAATGCTGTGGCAAAGCTGTACAGAATCCGACTCACCTGCAGAGAGGGAACGCAGCACAACGGTTTGGCAAATAATGTGAAGAAAAGAATAAAGGGCTGCGGAGATGTTCTGCAACAAAGAACCAGCAGCTGCATTGCGATTCGTAACATCGCCCTGTTCACACTCCGGAGCTTCACGTATGTCATTGTGTCACATGGTGACAATACCGTAAAGTGTCTTTGTTTATTGAAACAGAGCGGGGCTCCTAAAATGGAAAACATCATTAGACCAGAATCGCCGGGAATACGCCTTTTTATGCCACTGTTAGGAAAAGTCTAAGAGGTTCTTTTGTTTATTTGGAGCCTTCAATGAACCTAACATACATGTTTTGTGAATGAACAAAAGAGAAACCAGCAAAGGGGAAAGATGAAAACTCCACTCAAGAGGCCCTGAGCTGGAATTCAAACAGCAAAACACACACACACACACACACACACACACACACACACACACACACACACACACACACACACACACACACACACACACACACACTAAAATACCAAGTTGACATTTTAAGGTTCATGCGAGTAGCGTGGCAAAAATGCAGTTTCAATTTGGACTGGGGGTTCTGAAGCCTTAACCCCATTTTTCTTCCCCCCACCCACCCCCACCCCTCACTTCTGTTGAATGATATAAGCAGTGACACATCGTCTCCCTTAACACCTCTTGTTCTGGGGGCTTTTCTTGGTATTTTGTGTGTGGGTTATATGAGTACTGCAACACAGCCCGGAGTGCATGACATAACGCCTTTGCACCGGGGAAGCTCCCAACACTGACGTGGCCCCTGTGGGACATGCTACGGGGTCGGGGGCAGGGGGCTGGGGATCAGCGATCCAAGACAAGGTCGACAGAACGCTGCTAGCAACATTGACCATGTTTATATAAATAGACTGCAATGTGTGGGGAACACAGACAATTTTGGGCATTCTTGCTCAGTCTTAACTATTTCGAAAGCTTTAACATTGTGCATGAAGTATTTGGTCAAATAGTGGCCAGGGTTTCATCATTTAAGCAGTTGCAGATGTGGGAGGCACATCCACAATCAGAGAAGTAACATTAGCGAATGTGACAATTTACGTCGTGCAAAACTGTCATTTAAAAACAAAAATGTTTTTGAGAGAGACATACTGTAAAAGGGCAAAAATCAAGTACATTGCGTAGCTCCCCAGAAGAAAACACTGCTGAGAAATCGTGTCAGAGTCTACTCCTGAAATAATAATTGTTATGATCCATTATCTGCAGCCACTTCTGTACGCATTGCTCACTTTCACAGGAAACAAATGAGTGTGTCATGATCGCGCTCATCATGTGCCCAAAAAGACACTCTGCTCATCACAAGACTCGATTTGGCGCGATCTGTGGATCTCAACTCTTCTTTCTTCAGTGATTCACTGGTAAACTGTGCTAACGTTTTCACATTACTTTTGAATAGCTTTGATTTGGCTAATCAGGACCCAGAGACGCTGATAGGGATTTGCACTCGTTTTAAAACTACGGTATCATATTAGGCAAGCGAGAAAAAGAAATGAAAAAAGAACTTACCGCCTCTTGGATTTGGCAACGGAACACATGGATCCTGAAGATCTCGGCGTTGTAGTGGCTCTCGGTGAACGCAAAGCAGTCACTCTCCGGCGTGCCATCATGGCCGCGCACGCAGAACAGAATCTTATAGATCGGGTAGTTGGCGATCTCCGTACTGTTGTTGGGGTCCAAAAGCCTGTGAAAATGAATGTGAAGCAACGCTCATCACGGGTACCACTGCGAACTGTCTCAATTTCCAAAAAAGCTGCAGTTTTGTGCAAGTTCAGTAAGAATGTAGTGGATTACAATTTGTCACACTAGAAAACAAATCCTACTCCATAAATGGCTTTGGTACTTATATTGCAAATGCTGCAAATACTGTACCAATCCAAACCTGATCAGGGTTGACTGTTCGCAGTCATATCGGGTAGAATTAACCTCCTGGATGGCTTGGAGGACATGGCTAAAAATTCTCCAATTACCTGACAGTGCCTTCAGACACGCCTGGCACACACAACGTGACGTCCAAGGGGAGCTGACACTGCCCCCTCAGTATGTCCATCATACGGAGAGCCTCCACCTCACTGCGGGGAGCGTTGACCGAGGCGCACCCGAGATATGTCAGCTGACTGAAGACTACACTGTCCTCATCTGGGATGGGACTACCAGGACTGCCGTCTGATGACGATTCATCTCCTGTGAAGGAAGCACGTCATGAGCTCTACTTTGATCTTTTAATTGTAGACCTTTATTCACCTCCGGTGGCATAAAGTGACTGACTTTCTGTGCACTGGAATAAAAAAAGACCCTGTTAATATGTTCCATTAATCAGAGCATGTCGTCCAGGTCCTGAAGCAATAGAGCGGTCCCGAAACACACAATCACCACCATGATGTTCTTTTTATTAAATGGTGTGTGATTTTTACACCAGATATAACATGGGGCACACTTTCGAAAAAGTTAAATTCTTCCTTTGTCCGTCCAGAGAGTATAGTACTGTCCTCTCCGTGTGAAACGGAGTGTTAGATTAGCTTGCGCGCCACTAGAGATAGCCTGCATGCGTGTTTTTGGTTCAAGCAGAGACAGGTTGTACCGGTGAATATTTTATGAAATATTGTGGAAAATATTAGGATACGGCTACTTGAAGCCAAACCCCGTCTGCTTTTATTTCGGCATCGTTGTGTGCAGACACACTGCCCTTCATCTCACATATGTTGGATCCCGATTTGAGGCTTGGTTGCTCGATCATTTGATGTCACAATGAGACACTTTCTTATCCAGTCAAAAATTATTTCTAGAGGTGATCAAGGCCTTCATTTCCAAGAAGGATTCAGCAGTTTATAGTTTAGAGATAAACAGGATTAAATTTTCAGTCAGTACGACCATTTCAAATTTTAATTATCACGACGCATTTATCATAGCAGTCAAAGTGTACGGGTTCTTTCATCCAGAGCAATGTGCAGTCAGTGTTCTCCTGCATTAATGATGCGCACGCACACGCACACACACGAGCGCGCGCGTCATTAATTTCACCTCAAGTTTTACATTAGCCAATTCAGTTCCTTGCAGCTAAACGTTTAGAATTACCAGGCATGACCACTCACCCCGATAGGACCGCTCATTCAGCTCGCTCTCCTGAGCTGTCTGAACAGGAAGTACCATCTCCACCTTGGGTGATGGTGCACTGAGGGGATCAGTGGCTGGTGCTACGGGCGATGCTGTGGTGAGGAGGAGGTCATGGTCCCCGGCGCCCGCCAGGGGCCCCGGCCTGGCGTCGCCCAACGACGGTTCCATGAGGACATCCTCTAGCTCCCTTTGGAGTTGCTGCTCACTGCCATTTCCCACAATCTGACACACACACACACACACACACACACACACACACACACACACACACACACACACACAGAATTCAAATGGAGACATTTAGGGCCAAACAGATGTTAGTAAACCGAAAAACACTGATTAAAAATCACTGAAGCAAAGCCAGCAAAATCACATTTTTCTACGACATGTGACAGACCACAACATGGTGCTGATAAGTGAGCAACATCATTGCATGAATAAATCCTCCTTTTGTATCCCTGCTTCTCACCTTGTTCTTGGAAGACATAATGTGCATCAAGTGATTGCTCTGTGGACAAGCATCCTTAGGGCAAGCATCCTCTTTTTTACATCTCTTACCATTTTAGTGATTAGTAGGTCAGTAAAAAAGTAAGTTGTGTAAATGGTGGAGTTAGGCCAACACTAACTGCATATGAAACAAGTAAAAGTACATACATGCTAATCTGAAGGCTATACACGAATCAAACCAAACACACGCAGAACCGTCTCACCGCTAGCTCTACTGCTCACGTTGGACCACCACCGTGTCATGAGGGTCAACTTCACACTAAACAAGTCATATTACGTCGATATCAATGTGTTACTTTACTTTTAGTTTGAAGTTAGCCTTCGGAAGCAATCGTTGTGGTAGATGATTTAAATCGAGGCGGGCCTGACTAATTCTTCGTGTACAAAAGGTGCAATATTCAATTCCCAGCGCTCGAGCGCACTGGCGCACCACTTATGTGCACCCCTGAGTAAAATCTTATAATGTTCATTGTTTACGATGACACCAACCTTTCCAGGTTACAATTTTTTTTACAAATGAATTTGCACATCTGCGTAACAATGCCATATTTAGAGCCATGGCCTAGTAGTGTTTTTCATCCAACTATTTACTGTAATTAAGACTACGATGCACGCACGAATAGGTTCGCGCTCGACGACATCAGGTTCTAACCTCCAAATGCAAATCAGAAGTCTGTTGCATATTGATGACATTGCATTGAAAGCCAGTCCTAAAAACTTGCGCGAATGTTCAGGCGACACTACATATGAATACTTCTTTCTAATGCTATCACTATGAGAGCTAAATCAACACAGTGACCAACTCGTAGGCTCACTCAACAGCCAGCAAATGAACAAGAGAGCACAAATCACGGACAGTCACCACTGGATCACGTTACAGCAAAAAAAAAAAAAGAGAGAGAGAGAGAGAGAGAGAGAGAGAGATACGAAGAATACAAAGAGGAGGAGGAAGAGAGCAAAGAGTCAAAGAGACTGACCTTAAAGCTGACCCCTTCCTCTGAAATCACCTGCATAACAGACAACAAATTTTAGACACACTGATTCCTCTCTGACATGATGGACAGTTCAAGAGACGGCGCAGGTGAAAAACCAAATCATGATGTCGGGATGAAGAAGTGAATGAAGGGTTTTCTCCCGAGCTGTCATAAACGATGGACAGTCAGATCACCACCTTAACCCATTGTACACCACAACAAAAACTTCTGGCTTTGAAATGAAAGGTGACGATTGACTGAATTTGAATAAATCCCTTCAAATACTACGGTCAACAAAAAATGAATTCTCGCATCTTTGAACTATCACCCTGAGTAACCTGCTGAGAGATGTTTTTTTCCCACCTCTCTGATCTGCTCAGAAAATGGCCTAGCAGACAATGATGAATATCATATTTACAATGGCAAATCCGACTGCGGAACTGACCGTGGGTGCGATGTAAAACAGCATGATATCCAATTAGGAGACAATGAAAAGAGTGCGCTGTTGCCGGACTCAGATAGAGGAACTGAGCGTCTGTATTTATGTCGTTACACGTCGTATCAGTCATTTACCACAGCAATAATAACGAGGAGAAGAACTGTGATCTCCTTGCCAAATAAGCTAAGAGTTACCATCTTCTACTGCTACTTTTGCGACGAGTGCTATTCTTTGCTGCTACTCCAGCGGTTTGGAAGCCCTGTGGTGCCATATTGCCTCTCCAAGATCTGTCTTCTGGTATGGGGGAAGGATGACTTGCAATGGTCAGTAGACATATTGTGTTCGGTGTGATGCTTGGTCAGTTTGAGTACACCGAGCTTAAAAGCGGTAAGAACACACAAGAATGTTTTTTTTTTCTTTGTGCGTGTGTGTGTGTGTGTGTGTGTGGTGAGGGGGGTCTATCGTGTTGTAAAAATCAGCTAAAATGTTAAAATTCGGCTTCAGTAGGCTACTTTTTGGTTTATGAGACAACACAAGTGAATACTTTTGTGATTTGCAGCTTCATCCAGGTCATCACAAAATGCTTCGTTCCGAACGTTGTTTTTTTTTTTTGATTCATAAGAATAGCATAAGAGAAACTAATTTTCCAGTGTTATTCAAGTGAACTAGAACTATGCTTGAGATGTTTCTAAAATGTTGTCCCTCCCATATAGCTAAACAAGGTGACCAGAATATTGCCAATAAAGTATAAAAGTACATGTACACTGCAAACTACCACCATGTGAAGAAAATACATCGTTCAATCAATTAATACCTCTCTGACTGTGTCAAAAAGAATGCCGACTTTTATGCCGGTCTTGTGTTGGCTCTCGGTGGCTTGTCCGAGTCTACACACTGTTCATGTTGTCGTGGCGCCATCTTCTGGTATCTCGCCATAAAACACTTTTGGAAATGTTGAGAAGTGGTCACGGGCAGGAAATGGTGACCAAGGGGAAATGTGATTAGGTCAATGAAATCACAGTCGACGTAATGACCGTCAAAAATGCCTTCACTGAGTGAGGAAAAAGGGAGGGACAGGAGACGAGGTGGTAACCTGAACCCCTTTGGGACACACACAAGATGGTGCCTGCCTCACTGCAGTTCCTCCCTCGCAAAGTCCTCCCCTCTCTTTGTGACACGACACACCCTTGCAACTAACAGAAACAAAAATAACAAAGAATGAGTCCAAAGCATTAGCAGCTGCACGAAAGTCACCGGCCAGCAGTCGGCCACGCTGTGCGATGACGCATACAGCATCGTTGACCATTGTAGCTCATGCTAATGTCATTAATTCCGAGATGCACAGGATGAATAGAGTCACCTTTGACTCCTTCCTCGCTCCACGGTGTTCCCTTCTTTCTTTGTGACTGTCAATCACGCACGCCAGTGGTCTCAAAAGACATTTCATGGAAACAGGAGAGCGACTATTCAAATGCCAAAGATACCACTCAAGAAGGAGCAAATGTCCAAGGTCAAACAATCATTTTTTTTTTTTTTACACAGATCTAATTGTACAGCATCACAAACAACTTTTAATTGACTTAGATGACAGCCTCAATGAAGAAATTAGGGAAAATATGCCTCAAATAGTGCCTGAAATCCATCCGTCCATCCATCCATTGGTCAGTGATTAATCAATGGATTAGTATTAACACTCTCCAATGTGGATGTAGCACAATGTCATGACTGCAAACAAGCCGAGACAGAATTCACAGTACCTCTGCTGGTCACAGTTAAATCATTCCACTCCAGTTTTCCTCCTTTCCTTGACGACGGAATTCCACCGAATCAAAAGCATTCTCAACAATAACCGAATTAACTACCGGTAATTGCTAAATATGCCCAACGCTGCGACGACCCACGTGTCGGCGAATGAGGCCTAATATTTGAAAAAGCATGCCAGGCGTTTATTAATCCAGACACGGGTAACGTAAATGAGGGTAAGAAAAGAAGAAGTGAAACACCAAATGGTTAAGCTTGATGGTTAATGTGTAAAAAGCCAATGTGGAAAAAGAGTGAGAAATGACAACTTCTGACTTGTGATTTTAGCAAATGATCAAGATGGAAAAAGACAATGAGTATGAGGATGCTTCATCAAGTTCTGAACTGGACCTCTATTAACAACTTAAGGGAGATAAAATGATGCATTTTTTCAATATATTTTCACCTTTTTTCAGAAATAGGCCGATTGGTTCTTTAATTTTACACTTGATAATTGGGCAGGCAATCCAGAGAACCAACATTTAGTCTGAAAGCAATTCAAAAGTACATTTTCCATAATAGGATCCCCTTTAACTGAATAAAAAAAATAAATAAAAGCCAGCCGTCCCTCGCACCCTGGTGCATCCACACCTGAGAGTCACCGTCCTTACCTTCAATCCCGTCTTTTCGTCATCACTACCATTATTAGTGGACGAGGGCGTCTCGTCCCCCAGCCGGGACACCAGGACAAAGTCCTCACTGTTAAGAGTGGACACCGAGTCTGACGACACGCTAATCTTCCCCACCAAGCCCTTGTCATCCATGGCAGTCGCTCTTACGCTCAGCCACTCTGCTCATGAATGGAAGACGCGAAGAGGAGGAAGGAGGAGGAAGAAGCGGTGGGAGATGATGTGCAAAATTCACCTGGAAAAAGAAAAAAAAAGGACAGAATTAAAAGTGGTTAGCGCATCGACCTCAAAGTGCAGAGGTACCGGATTCAATTCCAGTTCCGGCCTCCTTGTGTGAAGTTTGCATGTTCTCCCCAGGCCTGCGTGGGTTTTCTCCGGGTAGTCCCGGTTTCCTCCCGCATTCCAAAAAAAAAACATGCACGGCAGGCTGATGAGCCGTTGAACGTCCGAGGGAGGAATATACAAAGTAGCGCGACAAGCTCTTGTTGCAATTATCACGCAACACAAGTTGGCTTCAACAGACTGCTTGCCTATAAAAAAAAAAATCTGTTTATGCTTTTTGGATAGTACCCAAAATTGGGAATAAATGAACTGTTTTTTTGTTTTTTGTTTTTTTCCAAAAGAGCACCATCTCAGCAAAGGATCAGCGGAATTGTAAAGACAAGAAGAACGGCACCTAGCACACAGAGAGGCTACCCGACATGAACTGGCGGCTCTGACACGGCCACAAAGAAGGCCTTGTCACACTCGGGGGGCCTGCCTAGCATGAGCATCAGGATCAACGCTCCGCCGCGCCTGCCAAGCTGCACGCTCGCTTCACGGCAGTAAAGCGCGAGTACATGTACACAAGCCTCGCAATTTACAACCTGGAACTACTTGCAGGTGTTCGTATCCCAGGCCAGAAATAAAGCACACACAATGTGAAGTTGATCCCGCTGCTTCAGAGGTGGTGATTGTTCTGAATGTCTAAATTACAAAAGAGTTCAATGAAAAAGTTGCAAATGAACATTTGTTTTTTTTTTTTTTTTCTGTGTGCGACGGTTAAGAAAGATGCCGTTCCAATGTTGACGTAAGGGTGTCAAAAAGCGAGTATGGAGATCAGTTATGTCCCATGCGGGAAAAAGCTCTCCTGCTTGGTCAAAGCGGGACTTGCCGACTCGTGAGGAAGCGTCCACTTTTTTTGTTTTGTGGCAGCTGAACGGGCTGTTCGTGGCGGCCGGCTGAACCCTCTCAGCTGTGAACAATGCACAGATAAGAAAAGGATAATAGTGAGCGAAAATAAGTGAGACACTGGGAGCAGCGCACAAGCAGCACAGAAAAGAAAAGGGCAGCGCAATCTTTTGTCCAAAGGAAGGAAGCGTTGTGCACCACTCAAAAGAACTGCCATTCCCGTCACTAATTTGAACTGTTCCCGGCAAATATCAGACAATGGACAACACATCTGAGGTTTCTTTGGATTAGGAAATCAAGCCGAGCCGCTCACGGTGACAAAATTAATGCAGCCGGAAACTGTTTTGAAGGACACTTGCTCATGTGAGCGAAGCAATTCCAAGCTGTCAATCACCACAGTTCAAGATGCTGCACTTCACACTGGCTGTTATGTTATGTAATGCTGTGGGGTATTCATTTCACATAATGCGTATTCATGTGGCTGTAATTTGTCGCAGTGTACAAGTGCACTACATCATATTGTTAAAACATTTTTGAATACATTATAAAGCCATGACAATGGAAAAATACAACAAGCCAGTGTCAACCTGAATTTTCAAATATGTATGTCGTATTTAAAAACTTGGCTGGTGTATATCATGCAACCATAGAAGAGAGGAGAATTATAATTATGGGAATAATGTCAAAATATTCCCCAAAATGAAGTCCCAATTTCAGAAAAATAACATTTAAATCCAGGCCAGCTGATTCAATCAGCTGATCTTAGCTCTTAAAATCTTACATTTTTATTCCCCATTTTTTTCAGATTTATTTATTTACTCGTTCATTTTGATTTTTTTTTTTTTTTTTTTACACATGAAGAGATTACAAGACAAGATCCTGTTGCTCTCTTGATTCGACAGTCAACTAATTGCGACTACTGTTGGTGATTAGTCAACAAGCAAAATAATCGCTTGTGGCAGCCCTAGTGTACAACGAATATGAAATGATGTATTGTAATACAGGATAGTATATGGTTTGTATGTTAAGTAACACATTGGAAGAGGACCTTGAAAAAAATAATTGCATATTAAATTGCAACTGCAATATAAAGGCGGGGTGTTGCAATTAGATTATTTGTCACACTCATTTGGCCCTAATCCCTGACCAGCGCTGTATGATTCAACAATGCCCTACATCGTATTATCACCCTAACTTGAATAAATAAATGCCACACCCCAAATCAACACCCACCCAGAAAAGGCAAGAAAATCTTGCTCAAGGACTTATCAGCAGCAGTGATCTGAAAGTGCACGAAGAGAAGCATCATCCATCACACCCAGATTCATTTCTCAGTGGAAGCAAAACAAAACAATCAGGCCATGTGGGTTCAGGGCATTGGATTTGATAGACGTCACGCCTTGTTAGCACACATTATACTGCTAGCTTGCACGTTTAATTGGCTTTCTGGCACCCAACTTAATCCGGACACAAGCAAACCTACTACCCTGAGTGATGCACGCAAACACCGCCACGATCTGAAATGTATTCCAAACACAAACGCCGTTCGCATGAAGAGTTTGTTTTGATGAATTGATCCAACTCTGAACTTGTAGTTAGCTTCAACCTGACTGCCAAGGGTTAGCCGTCAAAGCGACATGGGCGCCTGTCCATTTAAACAGCGGCCAAGTTCGTTGACTGCCAAGCTCAACGTTTGTCAAGGTAATAGTTGCCACGCGAGGTTGTTGCAGATATGCATTGCCGCGTATGTAGGCAGGGAGGAGGAAAATCCTGGATGCAGGCCACTATACAACAGCCTGCTGTCAAGCTAGCCTGCTATGCCCTCACACTTCACACTGACAATTGTTCCCCCCCGCGCAAACGAAGAAGCAGTCAACATTCATAAGCGCTTCAGCGCGTTGAAGTTATCCTACCTTTAAATCACCGCAGCTATATGCTCTCATATGACGTTTGGCGCGACATTGTCTTACTCCAATTTCGTCACAAGCCGAACAGCATCCGTCCGAGCTGTAAACACAAGCCCCGAGCAACCCGCTGTCACCGCCGTTGCGCATGCGCGTGTTTGTTACGCCCCCTTGCGTGCCCCTGCATTAGGATGCGCTCCATATCAAACGCGCATGCGCCACACGCGCACACGACTTCGACTTGACTGTTGATTTAGGGTGCTTTTTTTTTTAAATCGTGCCAGATTTTTGTGACATAATTAGACCTATATTAAAAATGCTGATTTCATAATCATTCAATATACATCTTCCACAAAAAATTAGGTAAAGGGTGGTTATGGAAAAAAAATGAATCACTGTACATTCATGCACACACGTGAATACAAACAGTATGAATTGCATTCAATATACATCTTCCACAAAAAATTAGGTAAAAGGTGTAGAGTTATGGAAAAAAATGAATCACTGTACATTCATACACACACGTGAATACAAACAGTATGAACTTTGCAGTTATATGCAGTAATTTCCAAGATTTGGGGAGGATATACCCACTTTCCTTGGCAAAAATCTTGTGATTTTACATGTATTTCATTGAAAAATAAACTTAACTTGAGGTTTGAAATTGTGATGGCATTTCAACATAAAGAATAATAGAACAAACATGAAGTTTACAGTTGCTTTATTGTTGCATGCATCCGGTCTCAGCTCACAGTGCAACACAGAAGCACTTTGTTGCTTAACATCACTGTCATATGCAAGAAAAGACAAGGAAACACCCCACACAGCCACGCTCACAATAGCCAGCTGCTCACACGACGGCCATCGAAATGAATCATTTAAAAGTCAATCTTCATCAACACGTAGACTTTAGTGTCATCAAGCATTAGCATTTCATAAAAAGGAAACCTTTCGCAAAGTGACATTTCCAAGGAAATAAATGGAATACATAACTGTATTATTTCAATGAAGGGACGTGTTACATTATACTGTCTCTCAAGGATTTTCATTTTCTTCCTTCTGAAACATTAGACAACTGTCCCACTGACTCGAACCTTCAACCAAATCTGATCGGGTCAGATAAATAAACCGAGCAATCCATCGATAGATGGCGCCGGACTAGATACAAGGATGGATGCGTACCATCTCTTCAATAGTTTCAACCAAACAACAGATTTGCGAATAAAGCGTCTAATACAGACATGAGTAACAGGAAAACATCAGTTCATCTGTTTATGTTTCACATTTAACAAATAGGCACCCTCCACCCCCCATATAATATCAAGGGTTAAGACGTACAAGTTCTTAGAACCCAAACCATGAATAGAATCACAACAACTAATAATAATTATAAGAATAATAATCAGCGTGAATGAGCAAACAAGTAGCATGCTGCTGAAAAAAAAAAATACTCTTGCAAGTCACTGTAACATTATGCACAGTTTGAACATGAACAGTTAAGTACCACATTGCCTTGGGCCGCTATCTGAGGAAACACGGTACTTGCACAGATAATTTAACGGCGTGACGATAACTGCGGAGCAACAAAATTCTTTACTGATGAAACCTCAGGTTAAGTTTGATAACAAAAATATTATCTCACAGTTTTTGCTAACCGTTCATTCGATGGCACTTGAGATGACTTGAAAAGTGTTGTAAACAGATGCGGCGCAACAGTGGCTCACAGAGCTGAACTTGGTTGACATACAAAAAGCGTACAAAATACTAATTTCCCAAGCGGTTCTCATATTCCATAACAAAATATGACTAGGATATGCATATACAGTGCAGAGGATATGTATGCACATCGCCGGGTTTTATATTTACGACACCGTGAACATTTTCAAATATCGTGATTGCAGTCCTGATACGAAATACTCGGACAAACAACTTCACAGAAGTTAGCGGCTGGATAAAATGCACAAACAAAACAAAGACCAGAAGGGAACACAACCACTACCATGCAGGTAGATTCAATGTTAGCAGGGGGCTTTCATGACAGTGCTTCTTAGGTTTGAGTTCTAGTTATATTTGCTTTTACGGGACCGTATATATGGCCCACGGGCTTTAGGTTCCACACCCCAGTCTCTGGTGCAACGCGGTTACTACAGTGCACAGGATTTTAAGAGCCATTTTCTTCTACATGCAATGGTTTCTACGATGGAATTTCCGAACGGGTTTTTAAAATGCTCTCTGCGGCTCCCCTTTATTTGAAAGAAACATTCAGAGACATTTCAATGATGTGGCTGTTGAGATAGTGCGGGATGTTGTTGGATAATACTTATCCGGCACACTTAAAAAAGTTTGAAGAATCACAGATTTGTTTTTCTTATGCATTAGGAAGAAGAAAAAAAAACATTGATTCAGGCTTTCATAATCCATGCACCAGAGGGTTAATATCATATTTTGTGTGTACAACAAATGGCAAGGATGGCAACCTTTAATTGACTTGATACCGGTGCGATAACGTGTTTTCTGGTGTCACCTGCAGCAATGAATAACGGCGCAAAAGTCATGGGACCTCATGACGGCGCCATCGGCCATTCCTTGGTGGCTCCAGTTCAAAGCATCATATGACATGCAGAAGAAAAGCCTTATTTTGAGTCATGGCGCAGACAAGACATTTGTTGTCCGCTCCCGCTGGGGATGAGATTCCAAAGCTAACCGCCAAACGCGTGGTGTCATGTTTGCTTGATGCATCGAGCCTGATGCCATCATCAGATGACCACAATGAATCCTGATTTTTTTTAATTCATTTTAAAATATCTTCATCATTGTCCGTGTGAAGTTATGAATTACAGATCTTTTCCAAACAATCTAATAGCCTGCCTGACAATTGTAAATGAATGAATAATCTTAATCTACATTTTGCAAGTGCTCTGTTGGACTTGTGCTCCTTACGCAACCACACAAACTACCGTAGGATTATTTCCGATATGCTTTTGACTCTTTTACTGCCATTAGCAGCCTTTTTCCGTGATTTAACAAACGGTGGTAAATCAGAAATTTCAGTGTCCAGCAACATTGCATCATCTGTGTAAAGGACTGACATTTTTAATCCATTTGTGTGTATTTGGGGTCACTTTAGGAAAAACTAATTTTGTACGAGGATTTTTTTTCTTTCCGCATTTGAAAAGTGTGACAATAACCAGGAAAAGTCTGGACCCTCACTACAATATAAGCATAAAGGAAGTACCGTATGTGGTACCTTTAAGACCCGCTGCCTCTCAACGCGCCTGTCAGGAATTTGTTTTTGTTGCACAATTTGAGCTCATTTTACATTATTTCCTATGGGAAAATCATTCGGACTTTGGTGGTGCCACTGGATGTGAAACCAGTAATAAATTATTATTAGAAGTAGTCGGAGTGGTAGAAATAGTAGAACTGCGTTATTGTGCTTCAGCATGCAAAATTGGTACATTTTCTACCGTCGCATGCTATATCTTTTTTTTTTCCCTTTCGCGCGTCCACTATTGCCGCTGAAATGTCGCAAATTTGCCCATCGTGAGACGAATAAAGGACGAATAAATCTAGTCCATGAAAGGACTGTATTCATGCGTCATAGAAAAAGACAGATGTTTTTCCAAGGCACGAGCAATACAAAAAAAGTATGCGCAATCGTTTTAAATTCATAGCACAAAAAAAAAAAAGACATTTATAAATTAGTCATTCTCACCTTCACATGGGGGCGGGGTTTGGTGGGGCTTGGGGGTCCTGCTGTGTTAAAACCACAACAGAATTAATTTTATGTAAACTATGTCATTTGATGTCAAAGTGCGTGTGGAGGGTGATGTTGTTGTGATATGAAATATCCCTTAGCTTCCACTAAGCAGCATCTCCGTCCCGGGCGCTTCGGGACAAGAGCGAGGGGAGGAGTCGCCGCCGGGCCGAGGCGTTCCCGTCCGCAGCACCAGCTTGCCGACGGCCAGACCTCCCGAGACCAAGCCTATGGGTGACAGCGACTTCCTGGATGTAAAGCAAAAAGAACTTCTGTTTACATATTATTTTTTTAAAAATCAATTTTCTGTACATATGGTTTTTGTGACATTTTCCAATACCGGTAATGAACTCATTCAGTACCAGCCAATTCTAAGTCTGAAAAGACGTTTAAAAACGTCTTTGGGAGTGAATGAGTTCAAAAGTGATCCTCCAGGAAAAATGAAAGGTTTGATTTGCAAAGAGCAAATTTAGATGCTGTCTGCACACTTGAGGTTAATCCTCGACATGCTTCCTCCCAAGTCACCTGAAGGCCATCTTTTTCAGCAGGTAAGTGTCCATTTTATCCATTGAAGTGTCCTCAGCATGGTGTTCCTTGAGCGGGGATGACAGCAACGAAGAGGAGCAAGTCGGTGCCAGGAGGTGAGAAGCATCTTCGGAGTATGGCGCGGCCAGCTCCAAAGAATCCTGAGAGGCAAAAAGGACAAGACGATGGAAAAGGTTCAGTCCGGCAATTCAAAGTGCTTTTTCAAGCTCTACCTGAGACGTGATGTCCTGTGGCTCCGAGTCCTCCAAGTCCAGAGCGCGCAGCTCAAGCTCAATGTCTCGTTCGGGGCCCGGTTCGCTCTTGTCACAGTCCCGATCTTGGCTGAAGGTTGTCTGGTGGCTTTGAAGATCACATGCAATTTTCTCGATTGATGAATGTCGACAAAGGTGCTCACTCAAACCGCAAATGCACGCAAAGGGCGCCAGGTGACCAAATAAAACTGTCACAGTTTTTTTTTTTAACATACAGTCAGTAAAGTAGGACGTGTCCTCATTCTTTAAAAATCACTCAACAAAAATAAGCGTCAGGATCTGCAGACGTGTAAAATGTTGTACCTTTCTCGGAAGCTGGAGTGGCTGGAAGAATCAGATCCCCTTGAGCACCATCTGTACTCGCTGCGATCCAAGGGGCAGTTATAATCTGGGAAATATAACGATACAAATGAATTCAAACGTCAAGGACAACAGTTGGGCGCCCTGGTGATCGACTGGTTATAGTGCGTCAGCCTCACAGTGCAGAGGTGCAGGGTTCGATTCCGAATATGAAGATTGAATGTATATTTATGACAGATAGATCGCAAAAAGTTCCCAGATTTTTTTTTTCCCCAAAAAATAAATTTAAAAAAATCTCAATCCATCTGTGGGTGGATACATGGAGTGGATGTACTAAATAGTTGTCCAGAGAAGATCCCCAAATTTCCTCGACCTTGGTTAAAAATACATTGACGGGTTTGTTTAATAGTGTTGCCATTAGCGATAGCTTGTTTTGTTTTGTTTTGTTTTCCACCCGGGAGTGCAGTAGGTGAACCATGCTGATAAAATGTCCAACGATGTGATCACTGCCGTTCAGGAAAACGTTTTACAACTTCAAGGTCACGTTTACCTTTAAAGTTGACGGGCGTGGTGCTAGCGCCAGCCTGGCAAGCGGTGGACTGGACGGGATCAGTGGTGTGGTAGCCCGAGCGAGACGCCCTGGATATGGCCCCCCACTTGGAGATAATGGGCCCCTCGCTGAAGGGAATGATGGGATCCTCTTCTTTCAGTCTCCTGTAGTGATCTGACGAGTGAAGCCAGCACTTTGGGACGCCGCCGCAAGTGACGCTGCCGTCGCTGCTCACACCTCCGCCGCTGCCACTGCTGCAGCCGTCCAACTGCTAAGTGAGAAACAAGTCTTACACAGTGCCAGACTTGACATTTGCAAAAAAAAAAATAATAATAATAATAATAATAATAAATACTCTGTGCGCACAAACTACTCACCGACTGCTCCAAGGCGGAGTGAGACGCAGTTGGTGTGAGCGCCTCAGGTTCAAAGGGGCTGAGACAGGGGCCAACAGTCGAGCCGCAGGACCACGGCGAGTAGTGCGCCAAGCTCTCCTCGCCTCTGAAGCGGCACCCCATACACTGACCTGCACTGGTCTCCACATGCTGCAACAGATGCAAAGTCTTATTGTCATTCTCTTTATTTTTAACATGAATAGGAACCGGGTAAGTAATGATTATAGGATCGCCAATTTAGAGGAAGCCTTCCAAGAGATTACAGAGCTGTACATTGCAAATCCATTTCGCAAAACTTTAGTCAGCAGAATTCGACAGTCGCTGCTCGTTAAAAGTCTCGAATGATGCTTTTTCTCTCACACATGCACCCACGCTCGCCGCAGTTGAGCCATGATTTGATCGGCCATAGTTGCTAAGCAACTATCTCCCACTTGCACAGTATGAGACCCCGGGCCTGGCGGAAGCTCTCCGAGCGGGTAATTCAATTAAGCATAAAGACGTTAACTCAACAAGTACCGCTGCTTCTTGTAATGACTTGTACCGTAATGGGTCAATCCAGGCTGCCGCTCGGATTCGCTGCGTACCTCGGGTCCGAAGTCGACGTTGAAAATGGCTGAAGGCTGTGAGGGCCTGCTGGTGCTGTGATGATGATGATGATGATGGTGGTGGTGATGCGCCCACTGCTCTTGCTTACGTCGGAATAGGTCGTCGTAGACCACGGGTACCCGGCCGTACTCCTGGAAAAAAAAAAACAATGCATACAAGTGAGAAGGAAGGTCACGATGAGACTTTTATGGGTTGCGAGGATGGAAAGCAGAGCGAGAGGCATGAATGAACCGAATGAAAAGCTCAAAACATCCAAGCGGCCATTTTTCATCGTGCTTGTCATCGTTAGGGTCGCGAACTCCCTACCTCAGCCTCACCAGCGATACATACAATTTTATTGTCACAACTGCAAATGTTCTTTCACGAAACGCAATCTCGTATGACAATAACGATTACGTCTTTTAATGAGCGACCTCAGTTACAGCATGCGGCGCACTTCAGTTAAAGTTTAACAGTGCTTCTTTTCAATAACACATTGCAATTACAAAATATGTCGGCCGTAGCAGTGCTGGCGGAGTAGGACGAGGAGAAAATGCACGGAAGTGAGCGGGGGCGGCAGAGACATATTTCGGTAGCTACAAGTAGGAGGATGGAGTACATACAGAGGAGGTTCGGGGGGGCTCCGCGACTGGCAGTGAACGGAGAGGTGACAAATGTGGGCGTAAGACAAACTCAAGGAAAGGAATGTTTTTGTGTTTTGAAATCAGAGAATTCAAAATAATAATAATACAGATTAAGGGATGCTAGAAGATCCGTTTTAAAAATCACTCTCAGCAGAGACCACTACTCATTATTCAGTCAAAATGGATAACTTGTGCTCATAATCTACATTTTAAAATCGATAAATGTATGTCATCTTTCAAATGAAAAGTGCAATGTACCTCGTTGTAAAAACAACACGAACGCGTTCAGGGACAGCGGTTACTACAGTGGACACCTTATCATGTTGTCGCATTACAGGGCGCATGAAAGGGGTTAAATGGGACAAAAGTCCGTGGACACTCGTCTCGATCAATTAATGAATCAATCGTGTCATTTTACATTGATATTAAATGACGATGCATATTTTATTATTTTACCCCCAAAATATAGCCAATCCATCAAATAATAGTTTGATATGTAATTGAATCGATTTTTTTTTCCCCGCCCCTGTTCTTCATTCTTTTCACTCACTGTTGAAATGTTCATCACCTCTGGACATTTCCACAAATACTGTAGCAGCACTTCAGGTTAATAGATGCCATGTCAGCTCTTCAGGCGGTGTGTGCTGCGGTCGTGACATCTGCCATGACACACAGCGCTATCAGTCATCGTAAAGGTAATTGCAGCCAACTTGTGGCAAAATACTGGGATTTTTTTTTGTTTTGTTTTGTTTTTTCGGAAAAAAAGTGGTTTAAGTTGTGGAACAGCTTTTTTTTTTTTTTTCAAGCGGAAGATTTAACCAGCGATTCATTTGAGCATGGTGTCGATTAAAGCGGAGTTCATCATTTTGAGGGAATGAGGGTCCACAGAGCAAAACGTCAAACGGCCTCAGGCCCAACTCGCAAGTGTTCTTCTGGATGACGTCCCAAAAATTGGATCCACATCGTGCGCCGTGCTAATTTCTAAAAGTGAAACTTGTATAACTGCTGTACCTCCCGGTAAACTCACTAGACACACAATCAAATCCTTCATGATTTTATCTTCAATCATTTGAATGATTTTTGCACTTATCTATGATATGCTAACATATCGATATGCATGCGCATTTGCACCCACCCTGTGCAGCGCCACACGGTGCTCGGATCCAGAGCAGAAGTTGCTGTCTAGCGAGTTGAATCTCTCCCTGAGTGGAGGCTGGTAGACGGAGGAATGCAGCACCTCCGGAGGCAACGAATTACTCCTGGCGTCCTCTCGATGGTACAGCTGCAATGTAAATAAATATGCAGATGTGTTCATAACAGCAAAGATGCATTTGATAGAATGAACAGAAGGCTCAACCTGAGGTCTCCACACTCTTCTGCTGTCGTAAAGTGGCGCATAAACCCCGTGGGCAGAAGCCAGAGGTCCATACGGAGGTTGCCCTGGGTGGTGGTGGAAGACGGCGGTTCCCATGCGCTCTCTCGGTGGATGCGGTGGATATCCCGTGGAAGGAGAGGAGGGGTTTTGATGGGCTATCTGAGGCTCGCCGGGAAAGGGGGACGGCGGCAAAGAGGATTCTGGGACGTTGGAAGATCTGAGAAAGCGAGCCATGCAGGGTTTGTGTGGAGGGTGGAGAGTAGATGGGTAGTAGGAACCTGCTAGGGGATGAGCAGAGAAATATATTTTACTTTCTTGTCAATATATGCTATTATGATTGAGGTGCTCACTGTATTTCCTCAAATAGCGTTTTACACTCTAATTCACAGGTTTCAAAGTCAAGGCCCGGGGGCCAAATCTGGCCCGCCACATCATTTTATATGGCCCGCGAGCAAAATGAGTCGAATTGATGCTGTGTTAAATTCCTCCATCCATTTTCTAGAACATTTGTCCTCATTCGGGTTGTGTGTGAGCAGGAGCATCAAGCAGACGACTACACCCTGGACACCCGGTCCTCTTTTTAGTTTCATAAACAGCCTCCGTTTGAGGAAATACCGTATTCAAAGAAGGACTCACAGTTTGGCTGGTAGCGGGCCGCGTCGTACGCAGATTGTTGCTCCTGGTAGAACAGCTCCGAGGCCTGAGGAGGATGAGGCACTCGTAGCATGAGGGGACCACCGTGTTTGGACACTGAGCCCCCGCCGCCATCGGTCACCCGTCCCATGGCAGTCAAAGGAAACGACGCTGCGGAGTGGCTGACGGGAGTTCTGGGAGGGGACGCGGGCTTCCTCAAGGAGAAAGCGGCAATAAAAACAACTAAGTACATTGTTGAATAGAAGACAAAATCCTGTCAGATTTTATAGAAAGTGTTCAAAAGAAAGCCAATTCCTAATTAATTTCCATGATCAAAATAATTTTAATTGCTTATTTTTGTAATATTGTTCTTTCGTGAGATGGTGATTTTTTTGGGGGGTTTTTGTTTCGTTATTGCACAACTTGAGGGAATATAGTATGAGCAAAAACTTGTCATATTCAAAAGAAGATTGCTTACTGTTCAGCCGAACCCAGGAAGGTCATGCCGGCGCCACTTGGCCCGTTGGACCCACTTGCCCCAACGGATTCGCTGGGCACGACTCTCGCAATGTCGTCCATGGGCTCAGCTACTCTGGAGATGAGTTGTGGGTGAGCGCCACCTTCCTTCAGGGTGTCCTCTCCAACTCCCGCGGCCCCGTCAGTGTGGATGCTGCCCTCCGCTGTGAAGGTTTTACCACCGGATGGAGGGAATGCACGGCTAAGACTTCCGCTCTTCTTGTTCTTCAGGCGAAATCTGTAAAAAAAAAAAAAAAAAAACAAATCAATCAAATTTGTAAAAATTATGGAATTGATCAGCAGGTATCTCAACGCAAAATTTTCTCAATGAGAAAGATCGGTCGCTTACGTAATGGGAATTCTGAGAAAAGGCATTCTGCTGTTCGGAGAAATCAGTTTCCTGATTTATCACAAAGTTCGTAAGGTGGCAGCACTTTTGGGCAATCGTTTAGGTATGCGGGCAATGTGCAAGTTCACGAGCAGATTGGATGCCATTCCTGAACTCGTTCGCAAAAGGGATGCCAACTTGGAAAAGTTCTCAGCGAGAATTGACCACAAAATCGGTTCTTTGGAATCCCATAAGAACCAGAGACACTCAAGGCAGACAGAAAATCGGAGCTCAGCACGTCTCACTTGTGACAATTAAATTCGACTTTCATTTCAATCAATAAAATTCCATTGAATGCTACAAAAAAACGAAAAAAAATTGAATTTGACTTTTCTCTCTGTACTCGTACCAAATGGCTCAAAATGCCCATCCCTACATTTGAAAGTAACATCTGTCATTCACTCACTTGTCAAGTTCATCCTGCGTGTGTGCAAATGTGCAGTTACTTCCTCTCGGACAACCTCCCTGATGACGAAGATCTCTGCACATGCTCGTCTTATACTTGCTGTTCGCCTGAGGCTGCAAACGCCACAAACAAAGTATACATATGATGCAACTGTTCATCAAAGACCGAAATCTGCACGGCTGCATACTTAAGTGACTACCTGTGGGGCCTCGTGGCCTTTCTTACTGAAGTTTTGGATGAATTCTACCAGGCCATGAACCGCCAACTTCACAGCCAACATCACATTTTCTAGCTCTTCCCAGGATGGTGCTGCATCATCTATGCAAATACAAAGAAACGATCACTTCGCAATACTATAACTGTGTTTTCTTCTCGATATATTATTACAATCTCAGACTATGGCCAAAGCATTTGTCTCTCTAAGACAGCACAGCGATGAGTCATGGCTCGTGCCTACAGAGATTCCTTTGCGAGCAATGTTTTCGTGTGGCCGTGTGAGGCGTCTTCAGATATCTCAACCCAAACTCAGATACAGCAAAAGGGAGTCTCCCTTTCTCAAAATCTGCCCTAGGAGTAGTCATCATTAGAGCCCATCACACAAATCGATCTAATCTAAAACCAAGTGATGTATACTGTACTGTACCTGTATTGTGGTCTATGTTGGCCAGCAGCTCGAGGTGAGCTCTGAGACTGGCGAGGTTGGCTGGGTCTCCTGTCCTCTGCAGGACGATGGTCAGCTCCTGGACACTCTTTGCAAATGACTCTGGAGACTGCAACTGCACAGTAATAAATGCTAATGCCGGTCTTTTTTTTTTTTTTTTAATAATATACGTAAACAAAAAAAAAAATTTTTTCTCCAGTTTTTACTATAAAGTAAAAACTGTCAAATAACCCAATAAAACAATCGTCTGATATTTGTTAGGAGCACTTGTTCAACGCTTGTTGGTTATCAGCAGAGTCCCAGAAAATGAATGAGACCTTGTCAATGATGGACTGCATGTGCGACTTGTGGACCAGGTCCCCGTACAGCAGAGAAGACCACTGCTCGGGCGAGATGCGGAGGCCAGCTTCCATGGCGATGTGCACAATTTGGGCGTCGTGTTCTCTCCTGAGAGCTTCGTACGTGCGGAATTCCTCCTTCAGCTGCATCAGTGAGGAGTCTTCATCTCGCTTGGTTACCTGGATGACGATGAAGGAAGAAGTTTGATCATTTCTTTTTACATTGTGATATGTTTTATTTTCAAACTTCATACCCTTTGACCTGTCATATAACAGAAGGCTTGTTCAAGCTATAAATATCCCCCACTGATAGCTAGCAAGCTAGCTAGCTAGCTAGCTTGCTAGCTATCTGTGGACAGCTCAGTGTATTATTAGGAGGTGTGATAAATCTTCAGACTTGTCAACTCAAATTCAGATCATGAAAAGGGAGTCTCCCTTTCTCAGAATCTGCCCTATGAGTAATCATCATTAGATGACATCACACCAATCCGCTAAGCTCAGCATGAACCAAAGTTGTCATCGTCTCATGTCTTTGCTCTGCCACCTCATTTTGACCTACTTCTGGATCTCGCATCCGTCCTGCAAGACAGGTCGTGACGGGATGCAAATTTAGAAGGCTGTTACATCACCGGGAAATAGTTGGCATTTGTGGCCTGCCAGCTATGTGCAACATCGCGTAACCGGCACAGAAATACACGCTCATGTCCACAGGGGTCCGCGTATTAGCTACTTGTACTTGACTTTTGTATCCACAGGGGGTGCTCGGTTTGTGTTCCGAGGTTACGAAGATCATACGTACATTTATGACTTTACTACTGATGGTTTTTTTTTTTTCATTACACAATATGGCAGGTTCTGACTCACGTCAAATTCAACAAATAAAACCTCAGAACAACTATTATAAAAGGCCTGACCACATTTAACCCACAAATGTTCGTCCTATGAAATAATAAACCTTTGTTCGGTTGTTGCACAATATTTTCTTTTATGTTCAGGGTGGCCCTTGCCTTGCAGGAATTTCCAAATGTTGCACCGTACCTTGAAGCAAGACGCCCTGTAGAGAAGCTGCACCACATGGCCAATACTTGTTTTGGAAGCCTGAGGGAAGCGCCCCTCCAACTTTTGCACAACAAACAACACCAGCACCTTCCTGGACAGTGCCGAACCGTCCTCCAGAGCCAACAGCACAAGCTTCAGGGCATCCTCCTGCATGGCTGAAGCGGAGAAGGATTGACTAAGAACTAGCGGAGCAGACGTGATCTTTTTGTTTCTGTTTTAAATGGCGACGTAGACTCACCAGGCCCGAGGAATTGGCATCCCCGCGCCCTCACCGCAGCCCAGAGGTTGGCGGACAGCTGCTGGGCGTTCTGGTGAAGCAGGATGAGCTCGGTCACCGTCCGCTCCCCCAGCGACCGGCCCGCTCGTACGGCCCGCAGGCGGCCTTCCTCCTCCACCAGCTGGCAGTTGACCAGCGTCACCAGCTTCCTCTGCATGGGACGGCTGAGTGCGCTCGGACTCGGAGGCACCACGCCTGCAGGAGCGCATCAAGCTTTATTTCATTCTCCATCATTGATTTGAACATCAGAAACTGTCATTTACGAAGCAATATTCGTACCTTTAGTGCCGCTAATCGGTTTGAGGTATAGCGCCAGCTCTTCCACACACACCCTGCAGGCCTCATAGTGTCCAACATCTGTCGCACTGCTCAGGCTGACTGGCTGCACATCCGGAACCTAAAAGACACAAAGACACAGTTTTTGTCCAACCATTTTCGCCATCCATTCCATTTCCAAATTGTTAAGTTTCCTTTGACCTGAGCTCCGAGCAGCTGCAGCAGGGCACAGTTGACGGGCAGCAGGTCGATATCCGTGCTGATGGGCGTCTGGTCGAAGGGGCAGGCTTTGCGGTGCAGCTTGTGCAGGCAGGTGCGGCACACCGTGTGCGAGCAGCCCAGGCTGACGGGCTGCTGGCCGCTACCGTTGAACTCGTTGTAGCAGATGGGACAGGACAGAAAGTCCGTCCACTGCGCGGCCTGCACCGGCATCCCGGCTCCGGGGAGGAGACGGCGTCGGGCTCAGGGGGAAGACATTTCGGCGAGCTGCGGCAGGCCAGCGCTAGAAAAGGCATGAGGGACGAGACATGCTGCTTTTGGTGCGTACCAGGCGCCAAGTCCACAACCGGATGATCTAAGCGCGACTTTCAAAGAATACCCGCTCTATAAAGGTTATGGAAGGCTTCAAAGAGAAACTAAGAGCCTGTGTTTACTTGTCAATGTTCTGCATCACACAAAGGTCGAAGGCCATCAATGTCTTTGATGTTTTCATCTTCACCTCAGTTTTGGCAAAGTGGTCTCCCAAGTGCTCACTCCACAGCGGATGACTTTGCATCTTCTACATGTGGAGATCTAGCAGTTTCCTTTTAAACACTGCTTTGAACGCGAATGAGGCGAGCCGCTTGCATTGGATGGTAAAATGATGACCTGTGTTCGCTCCCACAACAGCGCAAACGCACCTTTAGAGAAGAAGAAAAAAAAAATCTCCACCTACACGCACAGTTTGATGACGACTCACGCTGGGCACGAAAATAGGGCCCTTCAAATTTGAATTCCTGTTAAAATAGTTCACTATGACTGGGTCATTTTAAATTGTGAGCGTGAGGACCGAGTAATTGCACAACAGAAGCCAAATTGCATGTTACACGTCATGACTCTTTGAAAACACTTAAAAGCTATCGAAACACATCCCTTTGAGATCATTTATTATATCTACGCACCTTCAAGGGCTCCGTGCCGCCCGGACCGCGTCGAGACGTGCTCCCGCCTCATGTTTCCTTCAGTCAGGCACCCAATTTAAACCGCCATAACTGCACCCCACCTTCTCGTTGAAAACAGCACCGTCCAAGGAAGAGTTTGATCACGCTCTTGTGGCAAAAGGAGCCCCGGGTGTGAATTTAAGGACGGGGTTGGGGGTGGGGTGGGGGGGGGGGAGTGGTGAAGCAAAGCCACTGGTAGGGAACATAACACTACAGCCACCTGTTCCTGCTTTGAACAACTGTCATATCCTGTTTTGGTGGCTCGGCTTACACACTTCTCTTGTAGCACAGTCACTATTGTCCACATGTACAGTCAGTGATTGGAAGTAATTACTGTACTTCAGGAGATTTTTTTTCTGGTATTTGTTTATCGCTTTTATTTTGCTAAAAACTGTCATGGAAAGCTAACTAGTGAGAGGTGAAAATCTGCCGTATAAAAAACTACATTTTTTGGGGGGGTGTCGCTTTTACCCCACCCACACGCTGTAAACGCATTGAAAAATCATTCAAATGCATTTAAACTTAATTACAAAACACTTTTGAAGGTATTCTTTTACACCAGCTCTCACTCGCTCACAGTTTTCCAAATAAGATACAAAGTGTGCCTTGCTTTAAGCTATTTTTTTGTCACCCCCCCCCCCTGCTGTTTATTGTAATAAATATAAAGAGATATATTTAAATAATACTCACGGGCATTTATTCTATGTGCTCTGTAGTAGTTGGGGACCTTCTCTGCCTCTTGAAGTTAATTACACTGCAGCTTTCGCAGTGGACATCAGTGCTGCGAGGCATGTTGTAGCGCAAATGTGCTACTACACGGAAGGTAACTTGAAATTCGGAACTGCCCCATACTGTGATACACGTGTGCAAATCGTGATGAACAAAAGGAGGTGAAGCACACCAAAAAAGCAGAACAAAACGGATCCACTGCTGACCAGTAAAACCAGTAAAAATAACGACATGAAGTCTATTGTGTGGGTGTTAAGGTATTTAAATATTACAATAGACCGTCTGTGAACAGTTAAGCGCAGGTTAACGTTTAACTGGAAAACGTGACACGCCAACATGATAGAAAATATTCCCCAAATACGTGTTCAGTAACTAAGCATTTAATAATTACTTAGGACCTCCAGCAGTAGTTTTGTTTCAGATAATTATCGTTGAACCAGGTTTTGCATGACTGCTCAGTTGTAGTGCGTGCGTGCGTGCGTGCGTGCGTGCGTGCGTTATATTCCTGATGGCTGTCGTTCCAGTGCGTGGGGGCAGTATCTTGGTGGGAGGAAGCATGCAGCTCACATGCTGCTACACTACACTGAAAAACGGCATCTTATATTTTTAATACAGTTGCGTCTGCAGCAAAGGAAGCAAACAGGAGTTGTGTAATCTTTTAAAAATATGAAAAAAATGTATACATATTAGTCTTTATGGAACAACTGAAAAAAAAATACAATACAGTATTTCTTACTGTGTGACATGCTTCTTTACATTTAATTTCGTTCTCTCATGCAGCAATGTTACAATTTGCAAAGAAAGCCAAACAATAATTTCACAAATATATTTGTTTGTAATAGGTGATGTCAAGCCTCTCGGTTCTGAGTTTGTGGGTTTGCATTTCATCTATCTTGCGTCCTCCCACGTTCACAAAAACATGAATGTTCGGGGGAATTAAAGACTGCAAATTTTCAACACTGACACGGATCATGAGAAAGAAAATACTGTGGTCTGATGAGACAAAGACTGACCTCTTTGGCATGAATGTCAGGCATCTGGTTTGGAGGATACCAGGCACCACCTGACCAATATATTAATTTTTTTTCCCTCCTGATCTTGAATCTGCCTTTGTTTTTTGTTTTTTTCTTGCACACAATGTTTTCGATATTTAGCAACTTTGTAATACATTTATGAAATAATTGTTAGGGTCAGTAACAGGTGGATTTTTTTTCCCCCGATGAAATGTCACAGCTATCAAATGCAACTCATGGTAAAATCTGTACTGCTCAAGTGATAGTTGAAAATAAAATAAAAAATCAATCTCAACAATCTGATGTGCTATAAAGCGTTTCTTAAATCAAGTGCAAGTTGGAACACTGACTTCAAAGTGGCGTGCCTTGGCACTTACTCTAAATTTCCCTTGACCAAGCTGACTCGCTTAAAAGTATATCTTTTTAATTGACATGCAGAATGGCAATATGTGTTTATTGTGTTTGATGCACGATGTTACTGGCGACCACTGCGGGGTGGATGTTTCCTATTTCTGTTTCTCTTGTCTAAAAAGTTGGGAACCCCCTGCTCCATCACAACCCGAGAATGCTGTTCAGTGTTTTCTAGAGCGGCCAAACAACATCCACGCACCACCTGCCTCCTCCACCTCCTCCTCCTCTTTCTCCTATCAGCACCAGTTGCAGACGTTTAGCTGGCACCAAACTCATTTCACGCTAAACAAACACAGCGCAATCAAAACAAGTTGAGGCCGAGTGAAGTTGAAGGAGAGGCGAAAAAGAAGCACATCTGGGGGGAAGTCACCTTACCTCACGCACGCCTCCTCAGCCAAAACGCGCTCTCGGTCGTCCATCAAGATGGCAACAAAAAATAAATAAATCAAAAGAATGATGAAAAGGAGGCCTGGAGATGAGTCTTGAAGCAAGGAACGGCACTTGGGTTCAGGTGGTCCGTTGGCTCGGAGGAGCGAATGATGGCGAATGGATGATCCGCTGACAGAGCTTCTTCAGCCGGCCGCGGTGCCTCGCAGGCGGCCTCGCATGGCGCACTCCCGCGGCCCCGGGCGCCGTCCTTCCGCCGACGGCTGAACGTCAAAGCAAAACGACTGCGTAGGAAACAGAGAAGTGCTTCGGCACTATTTTCATGTGGCGTGCGAGCATTAAAAAAAAAAAAAAAGAGATGCAAGCCGGAACAAGCCGCTTTTTCGAGGCGTGGGTTGCTTGCTTTTTAAAGGAACAGGACAAGAATATGTCTTGATATGTTCACAATACTATTAAGTGCGTGTGCGTGTGGCGCACCAGTGAAACGCGCCGATACATACAGGTTCACCGTTGCACTTTACTCTATACAGTTGCATATGAACCCTCTATATGGCACGCGACACGCATTGAAACACTTTGAAAATACATTTTTGCATCCCCAGGAAAGAATGACAGATTACGTTTAAAAATGACAATATTTTCAATCCAGACCACTAAGCACAGACATTACAGAGAGCCCTGTAACATTTGTTGCATCGTGTTGCTTTTTGCTAAAACGGATGAGTTAAAAAGTATTTGGTTGTGCTTCATTCAGTTATATCGTGTAAAATTGATGGGCACGCTCTTATTAAAAAATATATCAATTTCATCTATGATTGTGCAGTAACTTCTATATGTTATTAAATAATTAGTTTATTTTTACTTGCTGAAAAAAAAGCGATGCTCATCGTCAAAAGAAGACAATGGTGTATAAATACAGCACAGTGAAGCTTTGTGGTAGGGAGAGCATGGTTTTGGATTGTGTTTCTTCAGTTGGAGTTGGGGCTTAAGCATAGTTTGTTGAAATTATGAACAGCTCGATGGATCAAGCATTAAATATTTGCAGAAAAAACCTTTAGGCTTCTGCAAGAAATTGAAAAAAAGTCAGGAAAAGCCAACTAAAACATCTGAAGTTCGGGTTGAATCAGAAACACATTAAATGGTGGCAGGTGTTTGCTGACTCCCATTTACACTGAATTTGAATGGATTCGTTTAATTCCGAACACAGCCACGTCCAAGTAAGTGGGTGTGCACCCTTTTGCAACCACATATCTTTTTTTTTTCATTATCATAACTCCCCTCTCAGAATTATTATTATTTGCGATAGAATTCCACCAGGGGGCGCTCTTTGACCGACTCACAAACACGATGGTCTTGGGCGGACTGTTGTCTACTCCCACTCGCGAGAGGGGAAAAGTCGAGGAGTGAGAGAGTTCCCGTGTTTTACTCCAAGCGAGAGGGTCCTGGGTCACTATTGGTTCGCTTGACAGTTGACAGTTGGCCCCCGGACGAGAGCAGTTAAAGGTGATCGTCGTTGTTGTGTTTCGGGACAAAGATACGGCGCGGCTGCTGGACGGTCGGTGTTCGAAGCCAAGGCCGACGAGGGAGCCGTTAGCAGTGTGAGAATTTTTTTAGCACATTTGAGCATTTTAGCAGCGTCGTGCAAGCAGCATTGCTCCCACCCACAACTCGACAACAACAAGACAGTAAGTGTTTGTTGTAGCGGGTCTGATGGTTTTATAAGCTGAGCATTGTTGATATGACGTTCTCAAAACGTTGACGTTTTGTAATTTATTCGGTTTTGTTCTGTTGACAGGTGTGCATGTTTAATAACACTGCTAATACTATTACTACTAAAAAATGCATGGCGACAATGACGATGGGACACTTTTAAAGTTACAACAGCAACATTTACGGCCCATTCACTGATTCTGAACATTCTAATTACTAACGATGGCACTTTTGTAGTGGACAGTAGAACATTACATCATGTGTGGAATCGTTTTTTCCCATGACGTCACAAACCAGCGGCGGCTCTAGCCAATTTCACCTGGGCAAAGACGTTTCAATGAATTGTTTTCAAATACACAATATCAGGAATGTTTATAATGAAATGGAGTGATCCAAGAGTAATCCACCCCCTTTCGCTTTCACACACGGGATAAATATGTTTCTTAGGTTTAAGCTTGCGATAGCTTGGTAGTTGGAAACCAACTACCCATATAAGTTGTTTTATAACAACCCTACCTCACAGTATTTATCATTTCATATGTACGACTGGATGAAATCCATAAGGAGACAGTAATCAATGCCTTTGTTACATCTCGTCTGGGTCACTGCCAGGACTCCCTCAAGCATCGCCAGTTGATCCAAAATGTAGCTGCGGAAGTTTTTTAGTCAGACCGCAGCCTTGTCTAATTGAAAAACAGTGCTTTGTCAGCATCATGTGGCATCTTGAGGCAATTACAACATTTTTTGGGGTGGGTGTCGATTACTCACTATTTCACTATTTGTTGGTTGAATTATGTAGCAACTTTTTGGCTTCTTGAAGATTGCCGTTTTGCTCAGATTCGCCAAAGTCACAGTTGCAGTGTTATTAAAAGAGGGACAGAGCACGCTGTGAAAGCCCAAATTTCCAGAGGCAGACTTTAGTGTAGTAAATGTTAAAATGTGTTGTGACTGATAACGAGGACCTACCGCAGCAAACCGAGGAGGCCCTGATAAGACTTGAGTACGAAACATGCCTGTATGCTGTGTGATAAATGGTTTGGGTGTGTAAACATGGAACACACAATACAAGGGATGTGTTCCCATGTTCTTCTGAAACATGTGCTCAACTTCCTCATCAAATCATATGTGAAACATTTGACTCATCACGATCCCTCTGCAAGAACCTGCAGAGGTCTTGGACAACCTGCACAATATTCTGCATTATATTGTAGTAAGGACTATCGTTGACAGTTAATCTGAGTGATCTGTTGCAGCATTTGTCAACAATGCTTTTCTTTTCCATACAATAAAATACAAATTGACTTATATAGCGCTTTCACAACAGCTGCAGCTGTAACAAAGTGTTTTGCAGAACAGCTAACGTAAAATAACAAAATATAACAAAACACATAACATAAAACGTGGCCAGTCATTCAATCATAACCATATTCCAGCGTACACCTTGTTGTTTGAAGCAGTTATAGATGACAGAGGAGAGAATCAAAGTGTCCTTTCACCAGTGGATCAGAGACATCACGCTCTAAATGTGCACACGTCTGGTACAAGCTAAGTTTGAAAAGTAAACACTGACGAAAAAAAGAGATTGGTTCACCTCTCCTGTCCCATGTAAATCCGCTTCAATTCCAAGCGCCGACTCTCAGGTCCAAATGCGTATCCGCGCTGCACGCCGACGCTCCTCCCTCCTCATCTTCAGCTCCAGCAGTTATCCATCCAGCCGCACCAATGCGGACCGTCCAGCAGCGCCGGTATCTCCGCTGAACAAATCGGGAGTGTGAAAAATGATGCCCATTACAGGGGCAAAAAAACTCAAGCATCCCAGGCCTGTCAAGCGGCGACGTTCAAATAGTGCCCAGGTTCCTCCCCGTCAAAATCAGTGCTGGTACACGCGTGTGCCGAGAAGCACAGATTCTTCTTCTTCGACGAATGCCGTGGCCTAAACGCTGAAAAAAGTCCACGACGGGTCCACGCGAAGGACAACAATATGACAAAACAAAAGATAAAAACAACCAAAAAAAAAGCTGAGGTCTTGAAGAGCTCTCACAAAAAGTCCACGACGGGTCCACACGAAGGACAACAATATGACAAAACAAAAAGATATAAACAACCAAAAAAAAAAAGCTGAGGTCTTGAAGAGCTCTCATAGACGGCTGCCAACTACGGCGCCATCTTGATTCATGCATAGATTAAAAAAAAAAACACAAACTGTTTCATCCAGGAAGTGGGAAATGACCATAGAGTCATGTGCTTTCATTGCAATTCGCCTGGAGAACAGCTGGCTTTTTTTTTTTCTTGGTCACACTTTCCTCTTTGTCATTGTGAAGTATAAATTTATCTTTTTATCAGTTGAACTACTTGAGGTCATGAATGTAGTTGACATCACCTATTTGGCCTTGCAGTCGCGTCTTTAGCTGCGTTGCGGCTCAGCAGCCCAACAGAGAAACGAGGGCGCACGGAACACAGGACCTTTATCTTGTTTACATTCTTGCTGTGGACACTTGAACTGTTTGTGATTATTAACGCATTGTTTGTAGTCAAACAATGTGTTTCATCTGGGCAACTTTTCAAAACACTTTGCTCACTTCAATGAATGTTGAAAGTTGACTCAAGATTAGGGGAAAAGATGGA